GGAGCACATTTGTGATGGGCCGGCATCAGAAATGATGCTCAGGGGCAATCAGCATGGATTTATTAGGGGGAGATCATGTCAGACCAACCTGATTGCCTTTTATGATCAGGTCACAAAGGCCATGGACGCAGGTGTCGCGGTGGATGTAGTCTTTCTGGACTTCAGCAAGGCCTTTGACACCGTCTCTCACCCCATCCTAATTAATAAACTAGGCGACTGTGGCATAGATGCCTACACAGTCAGATGGATTGCAGATTGGCTGAAGGGTCGCACTCAGAGGGTGGTGGTGGATGGATCATACTCGACTTGGGGGGAGGTGGGTAGTGGAGTCCCCCAGGGCTCGGTCCTGGGGCCTGCGCTGTTCAATTTCTTCATCAGCGATCTTGATGTTGGGGTGGAAAGCAACCTGTTTAAATTCGCTGATGACACCAAAATTTGGGGGGAGGTGAGCACGCTAGCAGGGAGAGAGAGATTGCAGAAGGATCTGGATAGGTTACAGGGGTGGGCAAACAGGAACAGGATGTGTTTCAATACGGACAAGTGCAGGGTGCTGCACTTGGGTAGTAGGAACCAGCAGCACACTTATACGATGGGGAGCTCCCTACTTGAGAGCACGGAGGCGGAAAGGGATCTTGGTGTCATTATTGACTCCAAGATGAACATGGGCCGACAATGCGAGGTCATGGTTGGCAGGGCTAACCGGACCTTGTCGTGCATCCACAGGTGCATCTCGAGTAGAGCCAGGGAGGTGATCCTCCCCCTCTATGCGACGCTGGTCAGGCCGCAGCTGGAGTATTGTGTCCAGTTCTGTGCGCCCCATTTCAGGAGGGATGTGGACAACATGGAGAGGGTCCAGAGGAGGGCCACCCGCATGATCCGGGGAGAACCGGGTACAGTGAGAGACTGCGGGACTTGAACCTATTCAGCCTCCACAAGAGAAGGCTGAGGGGGGACCTGGTGACCGTCTATAAACTCACTAGGGGGAACCAGAAGGGTTTGGGGGAGACGCTGTTTCCCCTAGCCCCCGCTGGCATAACAAGGAGTAATGGGCACAAGTTGATGGAGAGGAGGTACAGATTGGACATCCGAAAAAACTACTTCACAGTTAGGGCGGCTAGGAGCTGGAACCAACTTCCAAGGGAGGTGGTGCTGGCCCCTACCCTGGGGATCTTTAAGAAGAGGCTGGATATTTACCTGGCTGGACTCATTTGAGTCCCGTTTTTGTTTTTAGGGTGGTTTTTTTTTTGGGTTGTTCTCCCGCCCTGGCGGGGGGTCGGGCTAGAAGATCTATTAGGTCCCTTCCGACCCTGTAACTATGAAACTATGAAACTATGAAGGATTGACACAACTTGTTTGAGGAATGACAGAAAGGCTTTATTTACTACAAGTATTCACTGTTAAATGAGCCTAAAGCAAAGCAAAGTCCAGTATTTAGCTGTAAAGTGATAGTTTCTCATCCATTACAGGCAAAAGAGGCTGTCTCAATCTTGTCAGCTTCTCTAAGGCGTGGATCTATGTTCACCTAGAAGATCAGCTGGGCGCAGTAGCAGTTCTTGTCAGACTGATTTCTCATTTTTGAAGCATGTGCTGTTAGCTGTTTCATTTCTCTTTTATATCCTTTAGCTCAGCATCTTCAAAGCATTCTTGTAGTGGTATACATCAAGAGATAATACGAAGCAGTAATTAATATGAAAATCCTGTTCATCAAACTGTTCATTATTGGTTATCAGAAAGTCCCAAATTTGATTGAATTACCTTCCTCAGTAACAAGAGGTTATCCACCATTTCCACTAAGTTGGAACATATCAAGAAATTGTTTAACAACAAGGAAAAACACAAAATTTTTGAGGGCTCATCCTTGGAAGATCAAGGGAACCACTGAGGCAAAACAAAAGTAAGCCAGGAGGAGACACCTATCAAAGCCCATATAGAGATTGTTTCTTCCTATACATAAACATGAGTTAATTGCAAATAAATATTTACTATACTAATTAATCAAAGATATATATTTCACACAGTTACATACCAGACAAATAGGAGCCTGCTTGAAATCATCATAAATATAATAAGATACGCTGGCAGTGATGCCTCATTATTTCTTTTCAGAAGGTCCAGCCGCAAGCTTACATTCTCTTGCGCCTATGCAATTGTCATCAATATTTTGTATTTTAACTTTTGTGAGTAGGCCCAGTTCAGTTTGAGTTTCACAGTCATCAGAAAGGACAGGGTCACCAAGTAAATTTCCTGAAATTATAACACTGGGCTACCAGCTTCAGAGCCAGGGGCCTGTGTGCCTCCATAGTGCTGAGCAGACTGCCATGTGTGGGTCCCTGGAGCTGGGCTTCCATTTTGACTTTGTGATGTTTGTTCCAGTTCAGAACACAACTGAATATCAGAGTCCTCTAAGGAAGAAACATGTTTCTCCACCCTGTTCTACCATGAACTTTCTCAAATCTCTCCAGGAAATACAAAAACAATCACCTCTGAGCTGGTAAAGCCCAGTCAGAATGTTATCCCTTTCTTTTACATATCTGAATGACCTCATGTGAAAGTATGATAGATAACGTAGATGTAACACAGAAACCTGAAGAAAAATATCAGGCAGCATGCTTGATGGAGAATAATAAACTGACTCTGGGGGCACTTCTGCTTGTTTTACTCAAGTAAGTAGTTGCAGTGAAGTCAGTAGGCATAAGGCAAGCAAACCTTGGCTTTACTGAGAATGAACATATAGCTGCTGTCAGTCCGGAATAAGAATCTTTCCCATCATAACACAAGTAAGGAAGGACTTAAGGGACCACCAGAGAAGATCAGCTACCACTGGAAGTTTGGAAAACCCTTCTGTACTAGGAAATGTCTGCATTTTCAGGAAATATTTCCTGTTTCTAAGGAAAAGCTTAGGTTTGTCCCAGACTTATAAAGGAAATACTGCATTTACTTGAATATGAGAAAGGCTCCCCTTCCCTCCCCTGATCAACATGGAATAAAAGCTCTTTGTCTTACATATGAATACAGGAAACCTCATTAAATACACTGGCAGTCATTAAACTGCTGCCAAAAGCAGCATATGCTCGGTCATGGAAACCAACTATGAAGTTTACCACACGCAGTCAGTACTAAGCATGACTATAAAACACATGGCCTATATGGAGCAAACAATGATAGGAACCTTTTTAGTGTTTGTGTGTTTATATCTATATATGCTGGCACCAGGAGGGCCAGAGCCAGACCTGACACCCTCCCCATGGTGTGGTACCAAAAGAATAAGTTAGTATAACACATCTGAAAACATACATAGTAATGCCTACTGTGCTCCGTCCCCCTCAGTGCTAACTCATTTCCAAGTCATGGTGAGCCACTACATTGACTACATTTTCATCTTCACTCCCACAGCTGAACTGAGCCTTTCTTTCACATTTCCAATTATTCCTGTTTCTTCACCAGCCTTAAATGTATGGCAAACATCACCAAACAGGGCCCCAAACAGTTCACCCAGGAGCAATCTGTTGCCCTCTTTCTCAGCCTGTCACATATGATTATTGTGGCCCATCCTCAATGAAGTGGAGCCAGACCAGTTTGCCTTGTGCCTCATCTGCATATAATTTTTTGGAGGAGACCAGGAATTCCAGTTCCAGTTATGAGTGAGGAGCTAATTAACTCATGGATCCTTTGTGGGAGCAATGCTGAGCTCTGGGGTCACCATGGCTTGAAACACTGTTGACTCTTGCTGGGGCCAAGCCCAGTGAGCTATATGCTAAAATGTGAGCCTTTTGGCTTTGGACAAATACCATGCATAGTATGGACTGTATATAGCTAAGTACAAAAGTGCTGCTTAAAAGTATGTTTATAGAGTACCTATGCTAAACCTACAACAGTTTCAAAAAAAGGTAAAATGCATTAATTCTGGATAAATTAAACTACAGGCATGTTTATTTCAAGGTCAGTGTTTTCAAAAGTGTCCCTCATTTCCATGTACTCAGGGACAGCAGGATCAGACAGCCAGGAGCGGGGAAAGGACTGTAGGGAGAAGCAGTTGGGGGAGGGCAGAGGGCAAAGGGACTACCTCACCCTGCTCTGGAGTGCCTTTAGTTCAGGTTTCCAAGCTCTTCTCTGCCCCCCAGGGGATAGAAATGGGCTCTGATTAGAGAGTCTAATATAATCCACTGATTCTTGTGACAGCTGGCTCTTCAGCTTAAATTTGGGACCTTTGAGAACAGTCTTTCCACAACAAAAACCTCTCTTGCCTGAGGTGCTTGAATCACAACACAGAACAAAGAGGGCCCAATCCCGTGTTTCAAGCATGACCCAGGCTTCCACTGATCTCATTGGGAGCTTCAGATGCTTGGTGTCTCTGAAAATCCAACCCTTTGCTTCTCAGGTTGGAGGCCCAGCTTGAAGCATGCCATGCTGGAGGTCTCTTCCAGCCCTAATGTCTATGAAATCTCAGCATCCCCCTGTTTGTATTTAGGCTTCATTTCACCTCTGCTGGTATGGAGGCAATTAAGCCCACAGGGTGACTTATGCCCAGGACAGGGATGTAGTATGTTCAAACAGGGCAGAAGAGCAGCTCTAAATTGCAGCTATTTCCCATAGACAGCCTACCTAGATTGTGGGAACATTCAGAGTATCCCCTGGGCGCTATCCTAGCCCTAATGTGAGTTAGGCACCTTACCACACAGGTGGAAAACAAGGGCTGTTGGAGCATGCTAATTAGTGTGCTCCAGCCAGTCTCCATTTCTCATGTATCAGCATCCCTACACTTCAAAATGGTGGCAGGGGGGGCTTTAACTAAAACTTGTTCAACAAGCTTTAGTTCAAGTGCCCCTCCTTCCATTTTGAAGCATGGGGATGCTGCAGTGCTTTAAAGCACCACTCTCCCCCGCACTCCCACAGCACATGTAAAATCGCCCTTTCGTCTCAAGGGTAAATGCAGATGAAACCACACTTCTTTACAGCCATGAAAGGCACATAGATTCACAAGTCAGAGAGCCTGTAGGGACCATAATGCTCCTATATCTTTATTTCCTGAATGATACAAGTTATAAAATGGCACTCAACAGATTCCTGAAATATATGCACATATGGTTATTGAACTACAACATGTCCTTAGGAAGGCACCCAGTCTTGGTTTCCAAGAGTTCACATGATGGAGAATTTACCACATCTCTTTCTGAGTTGTCCTGGTGTCTAATGACTTAGATAAGAAGGTGTACTTATTTCTTGTCTGCTCGGCATGTGCAGTGCCTTTAGCCTTTTATTAATACCCACTGTCCTCAGGTACTTCACTGTATCTAGGTGGACACATGGATAAAAAATGAACTAAGGCTTATCACTAGTTTTACTTCAAACTTAAAAACTCAGTTACTAAAAAAATAATGATTGAGGCAATGCTTCATCCACATACATCAAGCTAATAGCTAAATCCTGAAAAATATCCCTGAAGTCTTTTTCAATATATGGGGCTCTGTAACAGGGAACCCTAGCCCTGTTACCAGAAAGCAGGCTGGTCCCTTTAACACTAGATCTTTCTGGGCACAGCCTGCTGGCAGGGTAGGAGTTAAAAGCTGAGCCTTGCCAGATAGTCAGGTGACCAGAAGGGGGCAGGCCAGAACTATAAAAACCCTGGGCTGAGCTGGTAAATGGGGTCTCGGCAGCAGAAGGGGTGAACTCCTGATGACTCCCCAAGAAGCTGCAGCATCAGCACAGGAAGAAGCATAGCAGATGGTGGGAAGCAGAAGCACAGAGCCGTGGAAAAACATGAACTGGCATATTGCCTTCTTTAACTTTATTTTTTTGGTTATAACCCATGGGCTTACAGTTTGTGATTGACTGGTAAACTGGTGGTTTGTGGTTGAGGCTGTAGGGGAGGAGGAGCCCTCATTAGCACCTTGGGGTGCAATCATACAAAGGGCCCAGTGCACTAGTGGCTGCAGCCGTATAGGGTCAGTGGCCCAGAGCTGGATGCAGGACTTTGAATCCAGGTCCCAATGGATGGATCTTGGCTAGTAGCCCAGGCTATAAGAAAGGGGCCAAGCCTGAGGAAGCAGAAGACCCAACAACTTGGCACTCAGGGGCACAGCATGGAAGGGGGCCAGCAGGCCTGGTGCCACAGTGAGTGCACAACAGGTCAGGATGTTTTTAACCGAATGGCTTATTATTTTAAATCTATGGGTTTATCATGTGAATCCTGTTTGCACACCTAGCAGCGCTACCATCATGTGGCCCCCCACAGCATCCTGAAAGCATCTCAAGGCACAGAAGGGTGCTGCAACACCTTGGTTGAGAATCACTGGCAACAGTACCATTCCATTTAAGTCAATGAAGCTACACTGATTTACATCAGCTAAGGATCTGGGCCAAGTTGCTGCTGGTGTCTGCCTCACACTTGCATTCGTAACATCAGTGACAGATCGTAACGGCCTCATTAAAAGGAGTTTCCAGGAAGAGCAAGGGCAGAGGGAACATGAAAAGAACTCCCACCTTCTGCTCTGATATCGCTAGACTCTTATGGCTTCACCATGAGAGAGCTCTGGGCTAAATCTTGATCCCTGCATGCAGTCTGAGAGTCGAAGGGCCCACTACTATGGCTCACTACTCAGGACTTCCAGTTTTTACACTGCTTCTAGACAACGCTGTAGGGCTGCAGTCTCCAGGGTTGTGGGTGAATTCCTTCTGATCAGATGTAAATGAAAGCCACCTCTGGGTTCAAGCTGTGCTGAATCCACTAGCCCCACTCATGTCTCCATATGTCCAGCCCTGAGCCCATCTCATTTTACTCAGCTGTGCCCAAGGCATGAAGAGCACCTGCACACTTGTTTCCAGCAGTGGGGAACTCTGGTTTCGGTCAGACTTCCTCCCACAGAGTACAGGACTTGGGCCTCTGTACAAATGGCAGGCCATGCCCAAGGGGACCCATGGTTGAAATCTGCTGAAGTCCGTTTCACTCCTGGTGATCTTTTTGCAGTGGAAGCACTTGCAGTTTAGTTTTAGAACAGAGGCTAATGACCCACTCCCCGGCATGTCAACTCTGTTGCAGCGTTTGATCTGTAAGGGAGGGCATGGAGGCAAGTTCCAGCCCTGCCTGCTCACTCTCTGCCCCTTGTTGATGTGAGGGCAGCACTGGGCACAGCTCTAGAGTGGGGGCTGGGGTCTTGTTTTCTCCTGGGTGTCAATACAGGCATATAGCCCAAACCTTAGCCCAACCTCAGTGAATCTGTCACAGCCCTCTCAGATCCTCTGAACAAATGCGCAAACAGGAAAGCATAACTATCAGCAGTACAATAAAGAGAGCAGCCGTCCAGTGATCAACCCAAGTGTGCAGCCTGACATGTCCTTTTAGACAGAGTAAAGGTCTTGCTTGGAGAACCTTTCTGTGTAGTCCCAGTTTATTGGCTCCTCCACTGTGTTTGCTTTCTGGGCCAGAGAGTCCAGTTGTGCACCTGAAATAAAATGTTGCATTGGAGGGGCAGTTAGGAGCAGGAGTTACTTTAGGAATGTGAAGCCCTGGAAGGAATTGGGGAAGTGGATTTCTGTAGGTTAGCTGGTCTTTAAAGGCAGCTGACAATAGTTGAAGCCTCAATCTCAGCAAAGAGTGCCTCATCAGTCTCGATTTCTGCATCTTCTTTGAGATTGCCCAAATGCCGAATAATGCTCTCTCTTGTCTTCCTCCAAAATCCTCGGAGGGTGAGAATAGCTACAATATGTTCGTTCCTGTGAAAAGCAAAACAAAATCATTCTTGGTGAGTGAAAACCTTGTAAGAAACCAAGTAACAACAATGCTCTGCATTAAGGGAAGGCAAGTTGAAGTATCTGGGCTGGTTTCCATCCCTCCATTGGTGTTCTTTGCTAATCATCCCAAGAGCATTGCAGAAAGGCCTGGGGGACTGAACACTCTAGGACAATGGTGTTTCGGTGACACTGCATAGACTAATGACTAGTTTCATCATGAGTAAGGCTAGCAGGACAGGGCTCGAAGACTTTCAGAAGTATAGAGACAAGTTCAACATGTCAATGAGAGATGGGCACCTGACAGCTCTTTGTGCTTGTGACAATCTCCTTCTTGATGCTTTTAGATGTTAAAATGTGAAACCTTCAGCCTCTCACCAAGTTTTCCTGAGAAACAGAAGGCCTTTTATATTTAACAATTGATAAATAACATCAGCATTAATGCTCAGGAAGTTAACAGGCAGTAATTAGATTTCAGCTAGCAGAGAAAACACAAGTAATGGGCACTGTTCCAGGAGTGTGCGCGCATATGGATACAAAAACTCTTCTGGGACTCTTACCACCCCAGGAAAAGAACGACCTGAGGTATGACACAAAGCAAGAAAGGGCTGGTAGGCTCTGCCTGGTTTTCAAAACTTATTTCTAGAGATTATGCTACTCAATGGGTGCATTTACACGTGACACTACATCGCCATAGCAATGCGCTATGGCGACATAGCATCCATGAGCAAGAGCTGTGATGCTGCAGCTACGTCTCTGTAGCCATGTGCTCCTCTATTATAAAGCGACATAGTGCCTAAAAATAACCATGCACAGCACTCACGGCACAGTAGGGGCTGTTACCTCACCGTCTTAGTACTTCCAAAAGGAAGTACTAAATGACAGTTCATTAACAATGGTGCCTTAGAGGCACATGTAGTCGTGCCCAGTATGGCTAGAATGCAAACTGAGCTGATGACCCTAACAGTCTATTTCTAGTTTGGATAAAAACTATGGAAATTGCCTCTTTTTGGGCCTCAGGGTTTTTGTGAGATCGGATTTTGAGTTGCTGGTCTCAATGGGTGCCTGTTAGGGCTATGCAAAATTTTGCCAGGTGTTTTATTTTGAAGCTGTTTCGATGCATTTTAAGCTTGAAACAGCAAAATCAAAACTAAGCAAAAGCCTTTGAAATGAAACAAGGGCACTCAAAATGTTTTAAAAGTTTTTAAATGTTTTGAATTTACTTGGCTTCAGCGCCGGTCCCAGCTGGCAGTGGCAGCCTCCTGTCATCCAGTGCACAGATCCGGGGGCCATGCCTCCCAAGAGGAGTCCGGCACAGCTCTGCAGCCCTGCCAGGGGTGCAGGCCCCCGCATCTGCCTGGTGCTGGATGCGGGCTGTGTCCATCGTCGTTCCCAGGTGGCAGCACCAGCTTCCAGTCATCCAGCATGCAGACTGGGGGCTCGCACCCCCAGGAGAAGTCCGGCACAGCCCTACAGCCTTCCCAGGGATGCAGGTGGGCCCCTGATATGTGCGTCAGATGACAGGAGACTGCTGCTGCCAGCTGGGACCGGTGCTCGGTGCAGCCCGTGCTGAGTGCTGCAAAGACTGCTGTCATCTGGCACACAGATTGGGGGCCCGCACCTCCCAGGAGGAGTCTGGCAGAGCCCTGCAGCCCTCCCAGGGGTGCGGGCGATTCCCCGATCTGTGCACCACTTTACAGGAGACTGGTGCTGCCGCCTGGGACCAGTGCTGGGTGCAGCCCATGCCCAGCACTGGGAAGACTGGTGCTGCCACTGGCCCCAACCAGCAGCAACAGCCCAGGAGGGCTGCAGGGCTGTGCCAGACTCCTTCTGGGGGGCATAGGCCCCCAATCTGTGCACTGGATGACAGGAGGCTGCCACTGCTGCCTTCGGCCAGCAGCAGCATCAATCTTCCTGGTGCTAGGAGTGAGCTGTACCCAGTGCCAGTCCCAGGTGGCAGCAGCAGCCTCCTGTCATCTGGCACGGAGATCTGTGGTCCTGCGCTCCCAGGAGGAGTCCGGCACTGCCCTGCAGCCCTCTCGGGGGTGCAGGCCTCCAGATCTGTGGGCCAGATGACAGGAGGCTTCTGCTGCTGGCAAGTGACATGAGTTTTGCTTGTCAACACCTTGAGGTGCAGTTTCCAAGAAATCTCTGCACCTATGTCATTGAAACTTGGCAGGCTTTATGCCCTCAGAAGGGGCTACCATCCCTGCAAGATTCATCTGAATCAGGCAGGAAATGTTGAAATTTTAGGCATTTCCATGATTCCCCATTATAGCCTATGGGTGAAACATCGAAACAATGTCAAAACAGCAAAACAGTTTCGATTAAATGAAATTGAACAGTGCTTTTGAAATGAAACAGAACTCAAAATGAAACACTGTCCCGTCAAAATGAAACTTGAAATGAAATGGTGCTGTTTTGCACAGCCCTAGTGCCTGTACACATGTGGGGATGCTGCTCCAACGTGCTGTAATTACAGCACGTTGGAGCAGACTCAATTAATTGAGTCTGATGGAGCATGCTAATTAGCATGCTCCAGCGGTCTCCACTTCTTGTGTATTAGTGTGCCTGCACTTCAAAATGGTGGCAGGGGCACTTGAACTTAAGCTCATAGAATGAGCTTTAGTTAAAGCACTCACACTGCCATTTTGAAGTGTGGGGACGCTGATACACAAGACACTGTGGGTGCCTTAATTAGAGCAGCTCTTGGAGCTGCTCTAAATAAAGCGTGCCCACCCCACCAGCCCGTGCAGCACGTGTGAAGATGCCTAATGGCTGCCTATATACATGCTCAGGGACAAAAGGAGGAGGCTGTTTTAATTAGAGTGGTGCCTGGACAGCTGCTCTAATTAAAACAGCTCCCTATCACATTAATAAACTATCACATTAATTAAGCCCTTGCACATTTCTAAATGGCTACAGGATACTTTATTTAAAGCTCATTTGACAAGATTTAGATAAAGCACCCCTGAAGCCATTCTGAAACACATGGGGGCTTAATAAATGTGACAGTAAGACAATGCTGGAGCATTCGAATTAGAATGTAGTGTGTGTAGGGTGCACATCTATAGGCACCCAAAATACTGTATGCCCCTTCTGGGCTATGAACAAGCTGTAAAGTTTCTGTTTAAATGAATCACTGGTCAGATAAGGCCTGGTTGTAATGCCACCTGACTGTGCAAACCGCTGCACCTGGTTTTAAAACATTTTTTAAAATGTATGTGTTTAAAGCTTCATTGTTTGGTTAATATACAGATGTCATTAAACTCTACTCTTTTTTGTACTCATATAACACAACAACCATTCTATTTAGAGTGAAAGTAACCTAGATATGGAGCAGACTTCTTATCTAGTAATGGAAAAATCAATGGATAGGTTACAAAAGTGACTAAGGACATGGACTTATACCTTGCTCATAAACTACATTGTATAAGGATGCCTCTAAAGACCACAATAAAAATATATATCAAGGTGTAATCTGTTGCTTAACTACAGTAATCACTGAGGACTGGATTGTTATCAGACAGTCCCCTAGTCATCTTTGGAGGCTGTGCCATTTAAAGCAAAAGCCTAAATTCTGTCTAATTCTGGGGCACTTGAGAAGCACTCGTATGACTGCTACCACTGGGTCCTGGCTCCATCCAAATGTTTCAGCAGTATTTGATCTATTGGTGTATGTATTTTTCTAGTGAGCCAGCTATGTGGAATCTAGCAGGTAAATTAAATGATAAACTTCAGTGTTGTCCTGGAAGGATCTGTACTCTTGTTCTTAGTGGATTGCCTACATTGGTGGACTTTGTGGAGAGATGTGTTGAAGAGGAAGAAGCCCTCTTTTATTCAGTTGTCCACTTATAGATGAAAAGAGTTTTTAAAAACACCTTCCAACATTGCAAGTGCAATTTTGAAACTACAAGAAATGGAGGGCAAACAAGAGAGCAGTTAAATCTGGCCCATGGGCCATATATTTGAAACCCCTGAAATAGGGTAAAATGGAAAGGGATGGGAAGTGAAACCTACATATCTTAAGCTTTATTTGGTCCTCTGTTACCAACCAGTAAAAAGAATTGTACAGATGCATGCAGAGGTAAGAAATGTGATTTGTTATTCTGCTCGCAGCACTTTACAGTGAGAAATCCTCTGATATGAGCTCTACATACCTCAAATCTCGATGGCGCTGACGCATTGACTCCAGGTGTGCCTGGATTTTTTCTTTTTTCTTCTCAGAAATGATATCAGCAATGACAGATATGGCAAGAGAAAGCTCATCAGAATCGGAGCCCTAGGAATAAGAAACTAGATGATGATGACTGTTTACACACTGCATGTTAATGAGAAGCAGCAGCACCTAGAAAGTACATTTTCATCAACATTCGTTTAGCACAGTAAAACACACATCATTTCTGTATGCTGAGTATCAAGTACTTAGCAAAAGGTTCGCCTTATCATGCTTATTTTATAAAAACTCCTGGAAGACCATTTTAGGCTGGACATAAGGAAAAACTTCTGTACTGTCCTAGTCCCCAGGACCTGGAATAGACTCCCCCTGGAGGTGGTGCAAGCACCTACTCTGGATACTTTCAAAAAACGCTTGGATGCCTATCTTGCTGGGATCATTTGATGCCTGCTGACTTCCTGCCCCTTGGGCAGGGGTTTGGACCCGATGATCTTGTGAGGTCCCTTTCAGTCCTAATGTCTATGAAATAATAAGGAAGGGCAGTCGTAGCTGGCTCCAGGCCCTGAAATGAATCCATGGCCAACAGGAGACTCTGACTTGAGTCTCCTTTTCTAGCCACTAGGCTGGGCACCCTCCTCACACATGCAGAAATACCTGGCAAAGGATGGGGTACATTGGAGTAATAGCACATCTCCACTTTATGGCACCACTATGGGGAAAGGGTCAGCAGCGAATCAGGGAAATGAAAGATGAGTTAGCCTTAACATTTTAATTTTTCGATGGTGCGCTGGTAGGTTTCGCTGGATTGTGAAGTGACCAGTTTGCCCAGTGAGCACCTGCCTGCAGGAGTCTTGTGCAGAATGGCAAAGAATGTAGGAGGCACTAGGGCAGAAAGGGAAGCCATTCACATGCTGCTGAGACCTCCCTTGTGTAACTAAGTAGGGGCCTGGCTTTGCAATCCTTTAATTGTATGAGTGGCACAACTTCAATGGCACTGGTGGCACAACTTCAATATGACAAAAACCATATTTCTCATGTATAACCTGCACCTTTTCCACCTAAACCAGCTAGTTAAAATCGGAGTGTACATTATATACAAAAAAACCCCCAGATCCCTATGGGATCCCCTCTGGCTCACCTATCAAAGAGCCACTAATTTTGGTTTGTTAATGATCAAGACTGGGATTTGCAAAAGATCCAAAACAAGTTAGTCATTTAAATCACTTTGTCTGAAAATCCTAGCCCTGGTATTCATTATTCATGAAGGGGACAGTCAGCCATCAATTCCTTCTGACCTCCCCAAGACTGAAGGGTCACCTAGCAAGGCCCCAGTTTCTGACTCCCCTGGCCTCCTTCCTACCAGAGTTTTTTTTCTACTGGGTCTCACCATTGCTACCCCTGCTTTATCTCCGTCAGCTGCAGCACTGGTAGGAGCACTTAAATTGCTACCCTTCCAAAGCTGGAGGAAATCCCTGCAAGTCTCCACAAAGCTACTTTCATCACCTTCCTTCAGAGCCCTCATTAAAACTCTCCTTTGCCACGTGGCTAATAGAACACTTTGCAGTGGTTAGGAGAGTGATGCGCTGTGGCTACAGTCTGTCCTGCTGACCAATCCTGTCTCATTATTTCCTTGTGTTCTCCTGTCTTTCTGTGCTGCTCCATCATCTCTTGTCTTGTGCCTACATTGCAAGTTCTCTAGAACAGGGAACATTTTAGTTCTGTGTTTGTACAGCACCTAGCACAATGGGTCGTTAGTCCGTGACGGGAGAACCTAAGTGCTCCGGTAACAGAAATAAAAACAACAGCAACCAGTGACCACCAGAGCCTTGGCTACTGAGCCTCAGCAACAGCAACCAGTAACCACTAGAGATACTGGCTGAGCTGACCTAATGATTGCAATACAGACAGTCCTCAGGCTTACAACACAATTGGTTCCTGAAAGCCACATCTTAAGTCGAAATATTGCAACTCAGAACCTATTTTCTCACGCTAAACAATGTTATAAATGGGGGATTGGATCCTGAACAAGGCCCGATACCCTATTTTCACCAAAAATACCCCAGAATTTTGTACTCGATCAATTATAGATGAGTAATATAGCTACATTAATATATTTATATTGTAAATAGCAATCATATTGATTTGGAAGGACTTCTTTGAGGTGACTTTGCTGGACTTTTTGAAAGGCTCTTGGTTAGACTTTTTGAAGGGTTCTTGGCTGGAGTCTTCTCAGGAGTCCTGGCTGCAGGTTTTTCTGGAGTCTTGTTTGCTTTTTTAAAGGAAGTGTCCAAGGAAGTTTGTTCTCCAGGAAGATGTTCTCCAGGGAGATGAGCGACGCAGCGAACTTGTTCGCTGGCATGGCATTGCATCAGATCAAGTGTTGTAAGTCAAAACTGGCATTGTAAAGTTGAAACAGGGTGTCAATTTATAAACATTGTATGTGTGAAACGTTGTAACCGTAAGTCAGGACTGCCTGTACTGCTGGATTTTAAGAATTTTTCCCTATTGTAAACATAGCCCCAACAAACAAGACCCCCTAAAGCTTTCCCCTATGTTCTGTAGTTTCATACATCAAGGCACCATGATACCACCAGCTAGAGGAAAAGTGCTTAATGAGGCAATGAGAGGATCTACCTACCAGATCACTGAGTGTTTCTGTTATAACTGTGGCTTCTTCTTTCATTTTTTTGCTCACTTTCTGCCGCTGGGAGCTGTTCATTTTTTTTCTTGGTTTGAGGGCCTGTGCAATGTATTCTCTCACCAAGTACCTGTGAACGTCGCGTAGAAAATCCTGATTTTAAAAAAAAATGCAGGAAAATGGAGTGTGAGAGAGTCTGAGGGTAGGGAGTTCATTAATTCCCTCACAATAACCGAAGAGGCAGGTGAGACCCATGAGCTGAGTACGCTAATCATTGCATACTAAACTGAAGGCTTAGGAGTCCATCCTGGGTGGCACTCAAGAAAAGCATTCAGCACAGCGCGCAGATGGTTCTGAAACAAACACACGGCTTGTGTTCCCTTCCATCACTTTCTATCAAGGCAAGAAGCTAAGAGAGGGAACAAAGAGGAGCTGTATAATTACCAGCAGTCTCTACTCCAAAATGGTCCGTGATTACATGTTGGTAATTTGGCTCTTCAGTAGCAAATGGGGACATTTGGGACTGTTTAATAATAGGTTTGGATGATGCCTGCAGATTTTAAATTTAGAGCTATTGTTACTTACCCTCTAATTTCACAATTGTATAGATATATATGGAGTGTATAACATGCTAAAGTAATCACTGCATTCAAAGAGTAATATTAACCAGTGCTTTTGGCTCCTCTTTAATGAAACCAATTCCCTTATTTAAATTTTAGAAAGGAAAGGATATGATACTTATTTCCATGACAAAGCAAGATAATGACCTTGCAAACTCTCAAATAAGCAATCCTTATTTATGTCAGGTTTTATGTACGGACATAAAAAGATATACATGTATCTTTGTATTCTCTCTCTTTTGTGCATGCATGCGTGAACACACGCACACACACACACACAAACGAGAGTTCAAAGTCAGTCTATATTCTGGAAGGGAGTACATGACATTTTGCTGTAACTCCAGGGCAACTGCATAGGGAAGGAACACATACCTTGTTGGTAGGCTGCCTCAAATAGTTTAAATCTTGGGAATACTGGACAGTGGTTGACAGTATTGAGTTCAATATTTCATCGCTTGATACCCAGGTTTTGCTCAGAATTTTCTTAAATAGTGGCTGGAAAAGACCAATTCACTAATATTACAATAGTAAAACCTAGTCATAATATTGCTTAACAACAATTACTGTGTCTGCTTGGTGCACAGGGCACTGTTCAGACTACACATGAGCATATGGGCTAACATTCTTCCAAGTGACTTTGGGGCCAGATCCATCAAAAGACTTAGGCACTTAAACTAGGAGTCAGAACTGAGCCCCTCAGCCCAAACCTGTGATCCTGAAAGCCACTGGTCAGCAGTCGCCTAACACTGGAGGTGTCTACACTGCACAGGCACCTCAGTTGTGTTCCCACCTGAATCCATGACTGAAGCATTCCTTTGCCTCTTTCTCCTGATCCACTGGCATCTCAGAGTACATGAACCAGGGCACATCTACACAAGATGCTAGGAGCACAGTAGTCTAATTCTACTGCGCATTAGCATGTTGTGGTGAAAGCTGTGCTAATGCGCAGTAGAATTAGTGTGCTGTACATTAGCATTATGTAAAAATGTGTGGTGGCACTACTGTCCAATAGCACTGATTATTTAGTATTACAGGTACTAAACTTAATGCATTGTAGTTACGGCACAGTAATGCATGTGTAGACGTGCCCACAGATTAAGCCCTACATAGAACTGGAGCATTTTACACAGTGGTGAGGAACTTTCACTTGGGGTTTGAGAGCCCACACTCCATTCACTGAAGCTGGAGGGATTAGCTCCCACCTCACCAGAAAGTGCCTTGTGAGGACAGTGCTGAAGGTAGAGGCACTCACCGTCTCTCCTGTTGAAGCCAGGCCACCGTGTAGGAAAGAATCCAAGACCCATTGGGCTGGAGCGATGAAGTAAAAGTGAGTGTGACTCTCAGGCCTTGTGGTAAGTCACTTACTGAAGAGGGGGAATATATGCACAAGTGCATACATTTTATCCAATGGCTGTTCCCCATAACAGCCTAGGCAATTTTCCAAACCCAATAGACCCAGTAGGCACCTCCCTGTTTCTTTAGGTGCCTAAGTAATAACTCGAAACACCTGGCCCTCAGAGCCTAAACTCCACAGACGTTCAAGACTTAGGACTGTAAGCATGAGTTACCTTTTTTTAAAATTTGCCCTTAGGTTCCTAAGTCCCCTGAGAAAAGAATCCCCTGGGTGCGTAGCCTTCTGAGCCCAGCCCTTAATTCAATGAACCCAGAGCTCTCAAAGAAGTCAGCCAGGGCTTTGGGCATGAAAAGAAAGCAGACCTGGGTTGTGAGTTATACACAAGCACTGCTCAGACATGTACTTTGCAGCAGCACAGATTCCTAGGGGGAACAGTGAGAAGCCACTGTTAAATGTCAAGGAGAGTAGAGCCTTGGTTTTGGCATATGCTTCACTTGGCTAAGGTATTAAGGATGGATGGTGGATTTCCTTGCATTGTGGTTTCTTTAATTCCCTAACTGTAATTTTTTAGATAAATGAAAATCCTTTGCATCAGCCAGTGAAAGCTTCAGGATGAAGAGGCAAATTAAAATGTTAATCACAGGAAGCCTAAGTGGAATGTAAGAGCAGCTGACTGAGCCCTGTAAGAGCCCACTGATGCCTGCTGCTTCTTCACATAATGTACCAGGTTCTCAGTTGACACGGCGGCACTGTCCTCACTGATCTGCACCATCTGAGGGTGTGATCCATTATGCAGAGCCAAGCATGCTGGAAACCAGCCCAGAAACTCACTTCCCATGCCACTGTACTCTGGTGTTATCCAGAAAGAAATCAAGATATGATAGGGCAAATCTCTCCTGTGAGATGGCTACCTCTGCTGCCTGGGGATTTCATTTGAATTCTCTTCTATCATTGATCTGGGCTCAGCACATCTGCCTGCAGGTCTTCCCTTCTTGTCTTCATGCTAAGGGCTAAGCCAGAAATTCAGCCTGGTCCTTCTCCCCCTTGCTATGCTGCCCAGGGTATAGGATGCTCCTGACATGCACCCCCCATGCCCTCCTCTCCTCCCTTTAACCACTGAGGGGTTTTTCTCATCATCTCATAAGTTCTCCAGAATTCTCCAGAATTCATGCAGCTGTGCCAAATAGCACTGTCCTAACCCAAACACCTCCTGTGGCTCCTGGTAGGGATTCTCTTGAGGGTCAAGTTCAAAATTTCCTCCCTCTTTAATATTGTCTTTATACCCACCCCCAACTTGCCTGCCAGTCTGTGTCTTTCTAGCTCTCTCCTTGTGAGTTCCCTCCCAAGTAACTCCTGTTTAAGTCCTCCCTCTGTATTCCCAGTCATCTGGAACGCTATCCCTGCATTGTGCTGTCTCAACGACTCTTTTTTTTGAACGTCATCATCAAATATAATTTTTAAATTATTTAAAACCTTGCTTAAGTCTCTTGACTTTGTTCCTTCCTGATCATCCATAATGGGCCTCATTCAAAGCCTACTGATATCAATGGCAAGTTCACTGGCTTTAGAGGGCTTTGGACCTGGGCTGTGTCTAAAGGCTTTATTCAAGGTTTTATTTCACTTGCCAAGCTGTATCTTGGCAGCCCTTGTGTCCTGTAGTTTATTCTCTGTAACTAAAGAGCGAAACTCCTTTCTGACACACTAAAAGTATTTCAATAATGTGGAGATCAAATCTCAGTCTTCCTCCTTATTTTTTCCCACAAAGTTCTTTTACTTCTGAGCACTGCATACGCTTTTCGCATCCAAGTACAATCCCTATGCCATCTGTGGTATCTCTCCTTATACTCTTACTTGCCTATTTATCACGTTACACTTCTGAGGAAATTCCTATTTAAGGGACCTGGAAAAGCCAGTCAGCAAAATAAACAACTTGTCATTTCAGGCTGTCAGTGGATGTACAGGGCAAACCTAAGATAAGAGGACTTTGCTGTTTCCCTGATGAAATATCCCTTTTCCTCTGAAAACACATTTGAAAAAAAGTGCCTTTAGCAGAATAAACTCTTTTCTAAGTTTAATCTTCTGTGATAAGTTTTTCACATGGGTGCTGGTAATGCATCATGATGGCAGACATGCAAATAAATACAGCTAAATAAACTCTTAGAAATATGTTGTTTGTTAAAGAACCAAATTCATCTCTGGTGTGACCCCACTGATTTTATTGGGTCTTTGCCAGGGGTGAAATTGGAATGCCTGAAGCCACCCAATATACATTGTTGTTATTGTTGCTTGAAAATAAATGGTATCAGTCTGTAATCGAAAGCCTTGAAAATAGGGGAGGTGTGACATGGAACTGAGAAAGTTCTAAATCAAAACTAAGCACAACACATTTTGAAATTAGCAACAGATTGCCTTCCCCAAAATGAAGTACACTCTGTAGAAATGAGAATAAATCCATAGTTACCAGGCTCAGCTACAGCCAGTGAACATTGCTAGTGCCTGGGTGCTGAGGGTCAGCTTACCTGTGTTTTCACTTCTAATTTATTTAAAAAACATTTTCTGAAATTCATTGTCACATCAGCCAGAATCTTTTCCAGTTCCTTAGTGTCGGCAGCAAAATTGGTTTGTAAGCCCGTTCTAGAGACAGAGAGAGAGAACCAATGGTTTCATGTTTATCTGCATAAAGTTACCTTTCTGTGGACAGTGTAGCCAAGTGAGTTTAACACCTCTGGCTTTGGACAAACATACTTCTTAAATGTTTGAACAGGAAAGAGGCACAAATCTGCTGTTACGGTGCCACTGTTTCACCTCCATGCTCCTGAAGCAATACAGGATAGCTCAGTGACTCTAACTGTAAACCTGAATAAGAAATGGGGTTAGCATTGCCATAGTTTTGCTAGGCTTGTGGAAGTAACAGCCATATCATAACAGCTTATATCAGTATCAGTTAATACTGATACCATAATTTGGACTGTTTGTTTATACCCTCAGGGATTTCTAAAGGAAATGTGTGAATTTCCAGTACATTTCCTTCTCAAAAACTATATTGGTTATAAAGAATTGCTCCTTTAGTACAGTGGTAATGTTACTTGAGGGGAGCTTGAGCTCTAATGAAGATATTGATCATCTGCATCTTCTTAAAACAGGAAAGTTCAAATCCCAGTGTTATGAGTGAGTTATGAATGGGATTGATAATCTCATACTTATTTGCAGTGCAGCCCGCTATGTGCAAAGTACTTTCCAAGTAAGCTTTCTAGTTCTGAGGATTTTATGATCATAGAGACAGGTAAAGGGGTTTGGGAAGGAGAAAATCTATAAACCACTTACGTACAAATCAACTATTGATTATATGTAGCATCTCCTACATATAACATCTTCCTGCACAAGACAAATTGGGTGAATGGAGCAAAGATGAAAACATGCAAGATGTTAACTTTGGAATATTTAATATATTTAATATGATGAAGTGAGGGGGGAATTCAAGGAGGAATAAGGTTAGGGAAGTTGGGTGAAATTACAAGCAACCGGGAAGCCTTGTGTGTTTGAGAAGATCCTTCTCATATTTCCCTTATTGTAATTGCTCCGGTGCAAGTCAATCTAAGGGAAGTGGAGGCAAGAATAACAAATCGCTAAAAGTCCCCTAGTTCTGGGGTCGGGGCAGGGAAGAGCGCAATTTCACCGAGTTGCATTAATTTAACTTCATATTTTTTTATTTTTCAACCACTTAACTAAATTGGTATAACAGGCCATGTAGGCACTCTTTTTAGGGCCTTGTGATGCCTTACACTGTGAGGCACACGAATGTTGATAGGCTTAGTGCTAGCTTGGAGTTGGGAGCAGCCGCAGCTTTGACTTGAGTGGCACATCTGTGGAGAGTGGCCACACCTTAACTGACCAGGAGCTGGGTTGTGCAGATCAAGAGATAAGCCTGTCCTGGAGTGGCAGAACTTTATGCTGAATAATGAATGCTTTAAGCCAGCCTTTCTCACATGCAGATTGCAAGAATATATGAAAGGGTCACGAACAAACATTTAAAATGGATCAACAACTTTAAAAATGGATTCCCCTTTAAAGGAGAAAAACATGGGAAACTGTGGCTTTTCTCTTGCAGACTGGCAGAGTTGCAGCCTGCAAGGGGCTGCTTGGCCCCACACCCCCAGCCCTGCACAACATCCCCTACCTTACACACTGGGGCCTGGGACCTGAGGGCAGTGGGTTGGGAGTGCAGGGCATGTGATAAGAAAAGCTGATGTTTCTTAAGGTTTAAAACCCATGCAAAACCTGTAAACCTTTCACTGAACCGGTGCAGAAAGCATGAGGGGTTTCTAAATTTCACTACAAAGAAACAAGGTTAGGGGAAATGTCATAAACACTTTCCACATTGCAAA